CGCCCACATTTTCCAAGTTAGGTCGAAACGTCAGATTTGGCTAGAAATTAGTCCCCAGGGGTAATCCAACCCGCTGAACATAAATGTGATGGTATTTCATTGCAATAACCCTTCTGACATGAGCTACGAGGGGCAGCACAAGCACGCTTTCAGGCCACAATGTGGCCACAAGTATATGCCTTCAAATGGCATATACTTGACTTATTTCCACTGCCAGACACACAGGCACGCGAATGAATGGAAAGCTGAAAAATGCAAAACATTTTCCGCGAGGAGGATCCGATCCACAAAGTCCCCCTTGCCGTGCCATCCAGAACCCGTCGTGTTATCCACTGCGCCATCCGATCCGTGGCAGTGGTCGTGAAGGGTTTGCTGACAAAAACATCACTCTTGCGTCGATGCATGCCAAGTGTGTTACCACATGATACTTACATTTTGACTTTAATCGAATCTATTTTGAGGCCTAATTAGTGACCACCTCATAAACTATGCATGCTCGAAGTTACAAGCAGAACGGAGCCATTAAGGTTGTTAAAACCGCCCATTCCTTGTCAAATTCTTTTCACTCAGTTTTTGACCTACCCAGAAACGCATAGCAAAAATGAAACCCATTTTTGTGACCCTTGTATGGACCCCTACAACAAGCAACAAACCATTTCCAAAAAGCGCGCCATGACCTGAAACACCTCCCTTGTTATAGTCCCAGCTGGCAGTTAGGGCTTCGTTCGTCAGTCAGAACAAAAAAGAAACGAGGCAAAGCCCGACTGACGAGCAAGACCCTAAATGTACTTGAGACCTGAACCTACCGCTTTGCACCATTTTTTCCCTACCAGTAATCAGCTGAATTGAGACAATCCACGAAAGTGGGCGGGCTTCCACAAGGATGCGGAGCCTCTGATGGCGGGCAGCCTAACGCTGTCCAAAAATTTGAAAATTCCGAGAAAGGGTTGAAATTCTGTAAAAAAAGACGCGAAAGTGGGAGTGGTTCAAGGTACTTCGTTGTGCGACGCGTGGTCTGAAAAGATGGTGAACGTGATTCGGAAAGAGGTGGAAAGTGGTGAATTTAGTTGGAAAAGGGGTGAATATGAAGTGAAAATAGTACAAGAAGGCTTTGTGACAAATGGACTTCCTTCAATCAAACGGCTGAAATTCAAGAACATTACCTGTGAGCGATGATAAGCACAGTTTGGTGGCTATTTTCCAGTAGTCGATTGAGAGCCTTCCTGACCAAGTATTCCGAAGTGGCGTCTAAAGCGCTTGTCGCTTCATCGAGTATCAGAATTCTTGGATTCTGAAACATTTTCCTGATAAAAAACTAATCAGGGGAAGGATTGATTAACTTACTTACCGTAACCAGAGCTCTCGCAATCGCTATTCGTTGCTTCTGTCCGCCACTAAGCATTGATCCTTGCTCACCAACCTTGAATTAATAAGCCTAGAAGTTTTTTCAAACAATCGGGCTCGCTAGAAGAACGTTTCATGGAACTTCTCATAAGAGAATCAGCAGAGTCGAGAATGGTTGTATTCATGGAAGAGAGAAACTACTATCAGAATTTAAAGCGATATGCGAACGTTCAAAATTTGCTGGAAATACAATGGCGGCCAATGAGTGGAGCTAACCCCCAGGCATCAAAGCTCATTAGACGGACAGGACAATCGCAATTTCTCGCGTCGCCGCGCGCGGCGTATCATGCGGCGGTGCGCCTCTATGCGCATCAGTGATCAGCACTGATTAGAAGAGCGAAGTTCGAAAGATATGGATTTAGGCGGCGCAAGACTCCATGATGAGCGCTATCGAATTTCTTTATTTGCTGGGGCATTTTGCTGGTTCCCATCGACCACTGCTGTTGCGTCCTGTGCGGACCTGTCAAGCCATGCGGAAGCATCGGCTTCTTTTACACTTGGCAGGAGTCTACAGGTTTCACCAAGGTGAGATGTGTAGTTTAACAGGAAGTAGCAAAGAAACTAGCAAAGGTGTGAATGTCCCCTCCTAAGCTGAACAGCTCACGCCCCTTCTTGTTGAAGCCAACGCTCCATTTCTAGCAAACTGCGACCATTACAAAGCAGTCGGTAGGTTTCGGTAACAGTTTTGCTGTCATACGTGTAACTAGCGCCTCGAAACTAATGATTTTCTTGGGTCTCGAATGAAGGGTTCATGAGAACCTCTAGAACTAGTTGCCTAGTTCAGCCCAAAAACAGGCTATTAGCTCTCTTATGTAAATACATAGTTATTCGAACTTATCCGGGAACGCTTGAATGAAATCGAGAGCATTCGATTGTTCCGCAGCCTCTTCTATCTGAAAATAGAACTTTTTCAAGCACAACAAGCAACTTTTAGCTTAACACCTCCCTTAAGGTGGCGTACAAAGTTCCAACCATATGGATCTTACCGATTGGCCTACAGTTGATTTCACTCAGGGTTTTCCGCCACCATACAAATATTCCTTCTCGATCGGGGTTGAAACAGGCGCTTCCTAGTAAACACCAGATATAGATGTATACTGTAAAATTGCCGATGAGAGTTCCTTATGTTCAGTAGTTGAGCTTCGTAAAAACTACAGACCTGCCCTACAGTTCCAATTTGCCGCCGCCAGTGCGAAGGATCCATCTGTTTCAAATCAACATCATCAATCATGATATGACCACGGTCCGGATCGTATAGCCTAAACTCGACAGCGACTGGTGTTCATATCAGAAGATCGCGACATTAATGGGTGTCACATCAGGCGATCAAAATGGTGGGCGTGAGTTCCAAATGCTCATGGCAAGGCAGTAAATAGCGCAGTAGAGAAAAAAGGCAAAAAAAACCCTTTGGGGATGCCCAGATTGCATCTCATACCGACCCGAATTCGTACGAGCATACGGCGAACAGAAATCGTGCTTGGACGAGTACTCATCACTTGCTGGTATCATTATGATATCAGCTTTTTCTCCTTTCACCTCACTCTCATTTCTAGCAGATACCCGCTCGTGGATGCGCTATTGGTTCTTTCCCTTCTGAACGTTCTGAATGGAAAGAAGTAGTGCACGCACGAGCGGGAATGAACGCTGGATATGGCATGAGGCAAAGGGTGGGGCATTACCTTTCTCACAATCGGTTGTCAGGGACTTAGCCGAAAGTGATACATTCTCTGAGCTTGCACACAAGACTACCTCGTCCAAGCCCTTCGTCCGCACACAGAGAATCTGCAACGTGTCTTTAACCTTTCAGGTACGCTGCAGCTACCAGAAGAGTTGAAGAAATTTGTAGTTTTGCGAGAAACTCATCGCTAATTACCTGAGAACCAACCGCTTAAGCCTTCATGTCTGGAGAAGAACGTATAGAGCAAGATTAGAGGTAAGATGTTTAATGAGCAACCCGAAGAAAGCACAGCTTGTTTCGATCTGGCCAAGTGAGCAAAGCCGTGGGCGTCAGTTATGAGGATGCTAGGAAAACAATCGAAAGCGAAACACTTGATTTTAGACACATTGGAGGGGCCATTTCACTGGTTCATTTCGATGTGGAAGCTTGTAATCTATTGTGAAGCTGCAAAATGCAACACAGCAGAACTTTGCAAGACCATTTTTTGAAGAGCTGCGAGCTCTTGTAAATCTACATGATGGAGCCCCCTAGTTTGCAGAGCTTACAGATCCCATCAAAGCAGTTGGTGGAACCTGTTCCATTTCGTAGATGCAATCGAGCTCACAAGTCTCAGCAAGATGAGGAAACTAGAAACTGGCGACCTGGCTAAGATCCCCACCACTCCCACTACCCAAGACTAACAGCGCTGGCTTTAGTAGTCCTTCTGTGCCACTGATAGTGAACAGTTGAGTAATTTTGATTGGTGAGTTAGTATGCTTTACGCGTTCTCTACATAATAATTGAGCTAAATTTCGAATACCAGCTTTTTTTTTCTAGAGATTACTTTATCATGGTTTATGCTGTTCAACGCACTGTTCAGCACTTGGAGCTCTGAATTATCATTAGAATGCTGATGGTGAGTAATTTGAGAAAGCCTTTTCCTCAGACGGGACTTCAAGCCGGGTTGCACTTCCGCCTGGGGTCATTCTCGGAA